GTGATTACAAAGTGCTGTTTGTTCTACTCAACCTCTTCTTACTCTCTGTCTGACTGCGCTTTAAATTTCCCTCTTCTTTGTTTCTTATTTCAGATAAATACTTTTTATTTGCAACTTACCTCATTACATAACATTCAGTTTGTGTTGTTAAATTTTGCAGACAGGAGTACATAAAGAAAAACAACAGTGTAACTGTAACTAAAGGTCCTCATTTGTACAGTTTTGTTACTTTGGGATACCTTTAATTTTTAAATATTTTTTTTATATGTAGCTGCTTTAACATTGATGGAATGTAGAAATAATTTTGAATAAATTATGATTTTAAACTAGAAATTATGCTTGAAATGAACAAAGCAAAGGGAAACAATGTAAAGAAAATCTATGGTCATGTTTGTATGTCTATGAGACTATACATCATCACAGACGTTCTAAATGCTAGCATGTTAACAACAATTGGATAAAGAAAAAATCCCTAATTTTATGTGCCAGTTTAAAAGAAATCAATAAAAATCTGTTCAAATCCTGATGGGGACATGACATTTGTGTACCAAATGACATGGCAGTCCATCCAATATATGTCAGGACATTTCTCTTATCAACCTCAGCAATCCCGTTGAAGCACTCCAGACTGGGCATGTTGTCGTGCACTAGCTAAAATGTGTTATTAACTGTTCCTTGATTCTTCTTCCTCCTAGCGTTTTTCCCGCTCGGTTGCAGGGTCCGCTTTTCTGCAAAGTCGTCTCCACTTGGGTCGGTCAAGGGCGTCGGTCAGATCGGCTTCGATCTTCTTCACGTCGTCCTTGATTCGGTCCATCCATCTCCGCTTTGGTCTGCCTCTAGGTCGACGTCCTTGGGGGCTGTTCTCACCACTGAGTTCTCATCGCTCCGTACCACATGTCCGTACCACCGCAGCCTCGCTTCTTGTATCTTATCTGTGATTGGCGCGATTCCCATCCTCTTTCTAACGTCGGTGTTCATGACGTGGTCCCATCGTGTTAGGCCTAGGCACCATCGCAGCATCCGCATTTCCATCGTGTGAAGGGCTTGTTCGTGCTTTGCGGTGGCTGGCCAGCACTCGGATCCATAGAGGGCGACGGGGCGCACTACACTCTTGTAGATTTTTGACTTGAGGCGATTGGGCATTCTTCGGTCACACAGGACGCCGGTGACTTGGCGCCATTTCATCCACGCTGCGTTGATCCTGGCTCATACATCTAGTAGGATATCGCCGTCATTGCTGATCATCGATCCGAGGTATTTGAAATGAGGTACTTTCGCCAGATCTTCTCCATTGACGCTGATCGTGCCGTCGGTCTGGGGGCCAGCCTCTAAGTATTCGGTCTTGTTGGTGTTGAGCCTCAGGCCGAAGTCAGCTAGGCGAGTCTTCCATTGCTGCGTTTGGTATTGCAGTTCTATTCGCGATTCATCGGCCAGGAAGACATCGTCGGCGTAGAGAAGTGTCCAGGGATGGGGTGACTGGAGATCCGCCGTCGCAGTGTCCATGCAAAGGATGAAGAGCAGCGGGGAGAGTGCCGAGCCTTGGTGGACGCCCACATTGATGTTAAAGGGCGGCGATGTTCCCACTGGGCTTCTGACCGCGCTGGTGACTTGTCGGTAGAGGAGCTTTGTCCAGTTGACGTAGGCTTCAGGAACTACATGTGATCGCAGGGAGTGCCAGATGAGGTCGTGTGGGACACGGTCAAACGCCTTTTCCAAGTCGAGGAAGGCCATGTGGATGGTCTTGGACTTCTCTCGGTGCTTCTCCAAAAGCAGGCGGGCAGCATGGATGGCGTCCGTCATGCCACGCCCCCTGATGAAGCCACATTGGTTGGGCGTTAAGTTGATGATTTCTCGCATCCTGGCGTCGATGATCCGTTCGAAAACCTTCATGGTATGGCTTAGGAGTCGGATCGGGCGGTAGTTGGAGCATTCAGCCACATCGCCTTTCCCTTTCCAGATGGGCACCGTTATGCTGGTTGACCAGGCTGCTGGGACGGTCCCGTCTCTGATGATGCTATTGAACAGGCTGGCGAGGACTAAGGCGCCTTGGCGCCCGAGCAGCTTCCAGACTTCAGCTGGTATGTCGTCTGGTCCGGTCGCTTTACCATTCTTCATATTTTTAACGGCTGTTTCCACTTCCTTGATGGTGATTGGCGGGACAGGTCCTGGGACGGGCGGGGCACTGTGGATTGGCTGGTGAGGGAACTCCACGTTGCAGATATCGGAGAAATACTCGCTCCAGCGATTGAGGATGGCGGGCGGGTCGCGGAGGGTTTGATGGTTGGCATCCTTGATGTGTTTGACCTGGCCAATATCCTGTGTTGCTCGATGGCGGCTGCTGGCAAGGCGGTAGATTTTGTTCGCTCCTCCGGGCGTGTCCAACTCTTCATACAGTTGGTCATAGTGCGATGCCTTTGCCGCTGCTACCGCCTTCTTTGCGGCCGATCGTAGGGCCCTGTATTGCTGGTAGTCGCCATCGCTGCGGGATTGAAGCCACACTTTGAGTGCCGACTTCTTTTCCTTGATGGTTTGCTGCACGCTATCATTCCACCACCATACTTGCTTGTCGATGAAGTGCTTCCCTGGCTTCGTCGCCCCCAAGGGTGTTGCCTGCTGCGTCACGTATTTGACTGGCGATGTTCTCCCAAGCCTTGTCCACTGGCTCATTGGAGTCCACGTCGAGGTGTTCAAGGGCGTCCATAAGCTGCTGTTTGCACTCAGGGAGGCGCCACCACTTGATCTTCTCCACCGTCGTGGTTGGTGTTCTTCGTCGTCGTTGGCCAAGGTTGAGTCGGAGATCCATCACAAGTAGCCGATGTTGAGGGCCAATATTGGTTGATGGTATGACTTTTACGTTCGTGACTAGGCTGAGATGGGGTCTTCGGACTAGCCAGTAGTCGATTTGGGTGTCTCTGCCGCCGCTGGAGTACGTGATGAGGTGTGCCGGCTTCTTTTTGAAGAAGGTGTTGGTCACGGCAAGATCGTGGGCCTCTGCGTAGTCCAGTACCCGGCAACCGTCGTCGTTTCTGGTCCCAAATCCTTGGCCGCCATGGAATAGGTGATATCCGTCTCTCCCCTTGCCTACATGTCCATTTAGGTCGCCGCCTACCGCCACGTGTTCCTCAGGGCTAATCGTTTGCAGGTGGTCGTCGAGGGCGCGCCAGAATTCTGTCTTCTCCTCGTCGGGGCAGTTGGTCTGTGGTGCATAGCAGGAGATAATCCGTAACTGTTCCTTGATTAATGCACTTATATGTGGAAATAAATCTGTCTGGAGACCATCTTTGAAAGGCAGAGTACAAAAGTAAAACCTTTCCCCACAAGGCAATTTCCTTAACAGACAGTAGACCAACACAACACAATACATAATTATAGTACATCGTACAAAACACAATACAAGGTCCAAATATCCTACACTGTTAGAAAAACAAACAAAAAGAAGAACAGATGGAACAAAGGACAACCTGTATCTATTAGTATTATCTTCGTACAACTTAAACTTTAGCCCTAATAGAAGCATCTGGAACTCGATGTAAAGGATGCTGACAATCCCAAATAGTGGTTGTAGCTTGAAGAAAGATAGCTGTAAGTCAGCTGTCAGTGGAAACTAAAACTTACCTCTACAAAGATTATAAGAGTCTAAAAAAACAAATTTTATTGTTGTTAGAAAATTTGTAATATTGTGGCACAAGCAGAACTTTCAGGCTGCGCCTTTTTGCTTCTCAGAAGGTTAGTATAAGTCTCAGCAGACGAGTGTCTGTGCTTTTGATTATTAAAGTAGGAATTAATGTCATCGCCCTTGCAGACAGACAAAAAGCTGTCTTGTGTCAGTTTTTCCAATATTTGCACATTTAATCAGCATCAGCATCTTGATCATCTTACTAATGTGCAAACCTTCAGATGCATTGCCTCAAACAGTCCGTGCTATTATTGAAATAAACGACACCAGAATCTTTTGATTCTACGAGCTCAATTTATGTACATGAAAACACAGCCTGCATTTCATTCAGTTGTCGCATGCAGTGCGCCTATAATTAGAGTGATTTACTGAGGCAACAGATAATTATATAATCATAGGCTGTGAATGTGTTGTATACTCATTTAGGGAGTGAAGCTGGAATCGATATTTCTACACATAACCGAGGTTGCTTTAGTTCAAGAGGAAGCAGTATAATAAAATATCGCCTAAAGCCTGAAAAGTTGATACTTGTTTAGTAACATCCAATAACTTCTGTGTCTCAATTAGATTCCTATCAGTTATCCTAATATGCTCTTTACTGAGTGATGGAAACGTAACTAGAATCTTTCATTTGTTGCATAAACATCACAGATAAGGCAGTGTGTCTGCTTCAATTGGAAATACAGTATATTACAATCCAATGAGTACGCCATCACCTGTGGTCCAACATCAGCTCCAAAAGCTGCTATTGCTATAAATTTTAAGCTTTGGAGCTAAAAGGAAGTATAGATGCCACCATGTATGAGTCAGGTCCTCTAACCACCCATAAATGTGAAAATAGTTAATGTGTTTCCATGCTGGTTCAAATGTCTATTTCTGCATCATTTGTGGTCCCAACCTCAGTTCCTTCTTCTCTAAACCAATAAGATGTATGAGTCAGGTTCCTTTAGCCATTTATAAGCATGGCATTGAGCAGACAGCCACCCATAAATGTCTTTGCCTGTGTCTCCAACTATTGCCAAAAGTCTTATTGCAGGGACTCTAAATGTCTTCTTAACCTGTTGATGAATATGTTTTTTCACTTTTCAAGATTTCAGGATGTGTTTCGTAGAAATAATATATGTCTTTTTTCGCAGGCAACTCTTCTTTCCTCTCTCCTTCATAAAAGTCGACATTTTACTCTATCTCCTTATTTTTCATTCTGTCAGTGTTTCTGACTTAATCTCTTTCTTAGTGTTTGGTGACTGTGTATGAATCAGGCCTTCTGGTGCATTTAGTTACATTTTCCTCCTTTTTTCTCTTGCTCACTGTCATTCTTTGTCAGGTCCTCTTGGCCATAGACTGAAATGCTGACAGACGATGCCCATGAATGATGAATGATGACTGGAGGTCTGTCTGGTGCCAGCAGAATGCATAATACAGCATCGATACAGCAATCGCAGTCCTCCTCAGCAGAAACATGGTGCAGTTTCTTTATCACATTATTGGAAGATTTGCCCCAAGCAGGACAGCAGGACCACTCAAAGTGGAAATCAACCGCAATGTTGAATGTTGTTTCGGTTGGAGTCCTAAATGAAGCAGCATTACAAAGAGTTTTCTGGTGAGTGCTGAAATGATCATGTCAGGATAAAAACAATAACCCGAATAGATTTTTTGTTAATCTTGTTATACACATATCTTTGTTCTTATCTCTGTATAGGATAAACCATATTTAATCTTAATCTACTCTAACGTGCTGTAATGTGACCAGATATTATAGCTACAGCCTTTCAGTGTGTATATATGTGATTTACATTTTATACTTTATAGGTCTTTGTTTGGATATGTTTCAAACTTTTAATGTGGATGTGAGTTCATATCTTTTTTTGCATACAGTCAGTGTGTATGTGTGTGTGTTTGCAGTGGGTGAATGGAAGCACATATACATTGACTTGAGGCATGTTTACACTTCTGCATTTATGTGCTACTGATTAGGTGTGAAAAGTGGCACCCAGAGTGTATGGGGAGTGAACTATATGTGTCTGCATGCAGACCCCTATAGTCTAGGGATGTATGGCAGTGTTGAAGCATGTTGTGGATATATTACTGTGTGTGTGTGTGTGTGTCTGTGTATTCCTAGTATGTAGGTCATCGGTGTATTCCTGATGAAATGTAGTCCTCTGGAGAACCCTACAGATATGAGGGCCTAAATTAGACACTATTATCTGTGTGTGTGTGTATGAGAGAGAGAGCTATACACATTTGCCGGACCAGAGCTTCACAGACATGTGTTTTCAATTTTGTGCATGCTTTTACATGTAAGAGCAGCATCACGAGTGTGTGTTTGTCCATCTGTGTGCGTAGGTGTTAAATTGCATGTAATTTCAAACATTATGTATTTATGTATGTGAATGAAAATGACACAGTGGTATCATCTGACAGACTCGTTGCCTATTATCACTGACCTGGGACTGTAAACCTCGGCCCTTGATTTTAACGACTGTTGGCACAGAAAGCCTGTCCATATTGTCACATTACCAAGCCAAACTGCTAATAAGCCTCAAGCACCACTCCAAGAAGAGTATGTGACCAAATGTAGGAAACACACACTCTGCTGCATAACATACACAAGAGGTGCATTTGCAGGAGTGATGAAGTTAGTTTTAAGGGTGACTGACTTTTATAACATGTAAAAAAAAGTGTTTGATGTCTTTTTGTACGTCTTTAACACTGAAATTTCAGTTTTGGAAATCCATTCAAAGCTATTACTCTTACATCTTGGTGTTTTGTATAGCTGCTGTTGGAGAAACAGGGCAATGATGATTAGGTTTCTTTAAAGTATACAGGACATACATATTTTGTGTCACTTTCTAGATACAAAATGTGTCTTTCTGAATACCCTGTGATCTTAGTGCTGTTGAAACATTACATATAATCCCCTTTCATTTCGAGATGTCTACATTTCCAGGCAGCCGACTGTCAGTAAGTCACAGGGACAATATGCAGTCAATCTGTCAAACCAATTCAGAATTTTGCCAGAGCTCAGCCCAAAAGTTATATTCAACCTGAGAGAGATGAATGGGAGTGAGAATGTCTACCTTTGAAAAGCTTCATGCTTTGACCAAATCATATGCTGTCACTCCTAAGCTTTAGAAGGCCTGCACTTTTCATCAAAGCCGTTGATGGCTACCTTTCACAGTACTGTCGAATACACCCTCAAAAGCTTCCCTCCCTCCTTTCCTTCCATCCCCTCCCAAATCTCTTTCTTCTTCCCTCCGATGTCTACTACCCCCCTGCCCCTCCACCCAATCCTTCCATTCCCCTTGTCCTTAATCCCTCCCCTCCCTCCTCTCCTCAATCAAACCCTCAAATCCCTCCAGGTTTTTTTCCCCCCTGTGTGTATGTGTGACTTCAGTACTGTCAAGATAGATGAAACAAGAAAAATTCAGATTCATCACAGTCATAACCTGCCATGATGATAATCCACTGCTATTCTTCCCTTGTGGCATTAGGCCGATGTTACTGGCCTTTTTGGGGTTTATTTGCATATTTGTTTCCCCTTTGTTTCTTTTGATGAATTATTTACTGTGGAGTAAAAATGACAGCAGAGATCAGTGATGATTGCTGTCACGGGCGGATGTGAGTTCTTTTCTCCTCTTTGTAATTGTTCTCTTCTTTGCTGATTTTCAATCAAGCTTTTTTTCTTTACTCATATTTCCTGGTGACAACAGACAATAAAGTGGGGGGGAAAACACACAGATATTTTAACATTGCCAGTGAAACCTTTCCACTGTCTAGCGGGAACGAAGCTTCCTTTGTTGTCGTAGTGATTATAGGGTAGGGAAAAGCTGCAAAAAGAGGAGAAAAGGGAGAGAGAAGGGATCAAATGGAAAAATACTGTGAACACAAATGTGCTAGGAGGACCACCTCACACACCTCCCACACACACACACACACACACACACACACACACACACACACACACACACACACACACACACACACACACAGGGCAATTGAGTGAAAACACACACATCCTGCCCTTCATCATCCAACCATAAAAGAGACTTGATTAGAATAAGATAAACGACTAATAATAGTCGAGCAGTGCAGTTTGCGATCCTTTCAACTTTCTAACTGGAAACAGAAACGTCTTGCTGAGTTTCCAGGAGCTTAAGGTTTAGGCAGCATGTGTATTTGCAAACAAAACAATGTCTTTCGAGTTGTAATCACAGTGAGCTGTGTCCACATGCCTTGATTGTAAAGCCTCAGAAACATTGTCTTCGCAGTGTGTATCAGGATCTACCCTCATGTACACACACTTCCACGCGCGCACACACAACACACACTGCCACCCTGTCCCTGTGTTGGCCTATCCAAGAATAACAATGCATAATTCATGTTCCAAAGTCTCGTCTGCAGACAAAAGTCAGCGCTTGCATTTATTATTTATTGAAAACAGCTCACATGATGAATCCTTTAACAAACAGACTAAGCACTGTACCTATTTCTTTTTCTCATGCTGTTTGTGTTTTGGCATAGATTTAAGTAGGCTCATTAGCAGAGATGAGGATGCGAGGAGAGGAGAAGAATGGCAGGGAAGAGAGAGGTGAAGTGAGCCTGTGTGTGTGTGAGAGAGAGAGAGAGAAAGAGGAAATGAGGCGAAGGGATAAAGGGATAATTTTTTGAAAAGGTGTGAATTAATGAGTCTTGGGCGTCGCAGACTAATTAATACAAAAATGAAATGCTTTGAGCGCTAAGTTTAAGGCCTTCATTACATTTAAACAATGAAAGTTTACCCCGCTAACCGCTGGGTGTTTGACTTTACTTAACTGCACTGAAAAACCTGGATGTAACAGATTTGTGTTGCTACATAATAACCGAATCTTTTTTCCATGGCTGTTGCAGTGCTGCAGCAGTGCTACACTCCAGCAGAATCAGTCCAAGCAAACACCCGTGCACACCCGCTTTCCAATGTCATGGCTGCACTTGTTGTGTGGGCAGTTTGCCTTGAAGACGGGGAGCAATTTATTGTAGAGTGAAGGGACCCTGTGCTATCCTATGCTAATGCAGTCATCATTTATTCCAGAGTACTTGTATTTTTTTCTCTCTCTCTCTTTCTCCTTCTACTCCACCCCCTTCACCATCCATCACTCTTTCAAGCCATGAGGTATTATCTTTGCGGAACGTTTTATATTCAGTCTTCCTTTAGATGGGTGGAGGCGCGCGCACACACAGTCATTTTTGTTAAATAAAAACGCAATCAAATCTGGTCTCGCAAAGGTTGAATAATTGATGCGTTATGTTAAAAAAGGAATGAAATAATCATAGCCTGTTGGATGTTGGAAGAATATCAAACCCAGCATTGGTGCTTGGCAGACTGGGCTGAGCAGGGACGGCTGCCCTGTAAAATAATAATGAACAGCAAAGAGTAAGGAGATTAGGAGATTTTTGTTCTGCACTGTACCTGACACTTTGTAAATGCCCACCCATGCTTTTGTTATACAGCGTGACCAGGATCCATCTATCCTGCACTGACAAATCAAAATTTTCTGTAAATGATTCATTTGGTGTGCCATTCCAGCAGCTCTGCAAAAATGGGTGCAGTAGTAGGTACACACGAAGTTGCTGTTGTCGTTGCCGCTATGGAAACAATACATCTTAGGCATATTATTTTTTTATTTAACCATTTGCCAAAGCGTCAAATAACAATAATGTTGTCATTTATATTAGATATTAACAAAGTCACAATACCAGACCAGACTAAATAATAAATCTGAATAGCATTCTAATAAACATACTTGATGTTGCAGTGATTCATGGTCAGCTCATCAGCATTCAGCTTTACTAGTCTACAGTATAAGCTCTTAGGGGTGATGAATGAAATAATATCTGCTTGTTTGCCACTGTAGACTAGTGGGACCTGTTTTCACAGCCATAAAAGTCAGCTATGAATATATACATAGTGTACATCTCTTTATGGATCATGCGTACACATCCACAAACACAGACTCCAAATAATATCATTGTTTCAAATGAAGATGAACTGTTTTTATAGTAAGGAACACCTTTAAGATTGTGCCCATTCGGTATGTAGCAACCGTGCAAAATGAGCATATTCATTCACAGCTCCACTGAGTCGTGTGCAGCCGAGCATTGCTCACCGATAGCGTTTTTATTAATGTTTCAGATTTCCATTAACCAGATGTGTCTGGGTCAAGAGGTGCATTTGTCCTCTCTTTTAATGTGGTGATTGCAGCTAGGGTTTTATTGATACTTAAAGATGCTGTACAGGATGCTGTGTGAGCAGCATGATAAGCTGCTTGATTGTAAGTAAGAAGGGCAGGCAAAAAAATATGTGTGTGTGTGTCTTGTTCGGGGATCACTGAGACAAAAACTTGTCATTTACTTATATATTTATTTCCTTCTTGATTCACTAAAGGATAATATGAAATACACTCAGCGTGCATTAGGCCTTTATATATTCAGCGCACCACTGCAAACCTATAGACAGCCACAAAACATGTACAAACAGTGCCATTTTATCTGTGCTTCTCAGTTTTTCTTTATTCTGCCAAACCCTTCCCTCCATCCCTTTTCTGTGCCCTCTGACTAGTCAAA